ACTGTAAATCAAAGAAACATATTGTACTTTCAGTAAAGCGATATTTTCTCTCTATAAAATTTCCTTTCTGATAGAGCCAGTTGGAACCCTTCCAGCTAAACAGATCTGGTTTGCAAAATATTTTGGGAAAACATCACTATTTCAACAAACTTCCTGTGACTTGCCAGTGGCTGTGGCACTCCAGCTCTGGGTCTACACCACCAAGGTGGGCTTCACCTCCTTCCTCTTCCCCATGCGGAAGCTATTTGGTGGCTACTGGCATTGAAAGGAAGGGAAAAGAGAAAGAGCATCTCTCCCCCTTGCCCGAAGCGGGCTCCCAGCACGCATTCAGCACATTGGCTGCCTGCCCCAGGAGACGGGTGATGGAGGGGAGCTCCATCAAAGGGGATCTCCCCTGGCTGCTAGCAAAACGTTCGTGACCTGGCTCGTGGTGGGGGAACTGTACTCCAGGGCTGGGAAGGAGGGCTCCCGCACATCCAGGAGAAGTGCTGGAGCCTGGGAGCTCGGCAGCCCTGGCTGTACAGATTGGGGAATGATGCAGCTACTCTGCCTGCACTGCCCGCGCTGCCCACCGGCACAACTCACCCCCGGCTACTCCCCCGGCTCCCGGAGAAGGCAGGACCGGCAGCGATAGGAAGGGTGCCAAGCTCAGGCGGGCACTCGCTCGTCATGCCAGGGAGGGTATTTTGGGACGGAGAGGTCAGGCGGTTAATCGAGTGGAAATGGGATGCTACACCATTAAAGCGCCATGTGCTCCCTCTGCGAGCGCGCTGCGTTCAGGCAAGACGGGGAGACGGCAGATGTGTCCACAGAGAACGTAAAAGTATCGGCATTTTTGTGCCATTGCACAATGGAAAGAGCTGGCGAGCCCCTAATCTTGAGAGCTTGTTTATCTGTTTTGGCAGGGAGCTACGAGCACGTCAATCCGCGTTCTCAAAAGCACCCGAAAACTGCATCTCGCAGCAGCAAAATGCGGAGGCAGAACAACAGCCCCGTCGGAGCCCACTCTGCAACGCTGCTTTGTGAATGCCTCTAACTCTATTAACCTACAGCCTATTAAGCTGATTTAAAAGTGGAAATATTAAAAATCGGGACAGGATAGTAGGAACAAAGCCATTTTAATTCCTGGGCTTAAAGGCTGCCCTTGACTCCACTCCTGTGTTTCACCGGTTCATGGGAACCCTGATAAACTTGGGCTGTTTTTGGTGCCATGAGATTACGATAGCAAGGACCTTGAAATGTCTCTTAAACAAAGCATATTGCACCTGGAGGAAGACAAAAGGCTGGCTTGTAACAAAATAATCTCTCAGTCATTATGTTTCTTGCTAATTCAAAGAGCTGATCTCTAAACGATCTCCCTTGCTTTGCTATCGGTGCTAATTCTGCTGCTTCACTTAAGGATCTGTCAGCAATTTTATTACAGCCTCTTGTTTCCAGGGGTTTTAGACTTGGCCATAAAATCATGGTCCCAGCTGAAACTTAACATATAGGGTTACAAAATTAAAAAAAAAAAAAAAAGCTAGCTAGCAAACTCAGATATTCTTAAGGCTATAAAAGTACAAAAAGAACCAGAAGCATGTAGCTTAAAGTGATTACAGTGATTATTTGCTTTCCCTAGACAGGAGAAATAGCTTTTTCTTTTTTCTTTAAATGTATAGGTAATTAATTAATCACCAGTTGGAAACAGTGTTTGGGTTAATTTAAAAAAAAAAAAAGTTATTTAATTGCACATATTTTTGGATTATATTCCTAAACCCACCAGATAGAAATTTATTTATGCAATTTATTAACTCAACTTTAATGCCTCCAAAAGAATATCTTCTTGGTCTGATGACTTACACATTTAAAATATTTCTATTGGCCCCGAAAAGAATCATACTGTAAAGAAACCATTTAAATTCATATTTATGTAAAACTCTTGAATTACAGATCTACCTACTCTGGTTTACACTAGCCACTGTAAAATCAGTAATTATGTATTTAGTATCTGGTTCAAGCTGGTGTTAGAAGAAACTCAACCATAATATATAGATAGATTTATTTGTAGTTATTATATATATAAACTTGAATGCTCATCAAGGGTCTTGCCTAAACTTTCCTAAACAACAGGCCAGCACAGCTCAGATGGCTCTGTCTATTTTCTTTTCCTCTCTGTACAAAGGAAGGGGTGAGTTAAGGTTGAAGCGTTGGCTGGGTTTGGAGCTTTAACTGAATTTCCTTACCCTGTGCGTGTAGGTCAAATCCTTTGACATTATACGCTTGGTACTGGCACAAAGTAATCTTTCAACTTAAACCATGTGTGATGTGTTGGAAGCTTTTTCTCCCCTTCTGTTCCCCTTTGGTCTGTGAATTGGCTATGGTTAGAGCTTTTAAACGAACAGGTGTACTTTCTCCCTCCTTGTGATATGAAAGAAGCATAAAACTCGATTATAGCAATTTATGGTCTCTTTACTTGCTTGGACTTGTATCCATGACACAAGAAGCTTTATGCTCAAATTCAAGACTTGGTAAAATAGGAAGTTAAAATTAACCTCAATCCTTTTATAGATGAAAACCTCAACAAATAAACAGTGGTTTAGCGGCATGGCAACCTGCCCCTTTAAATCCAAGAACTAGTCTGAGATGTCTATTTTGAGTTAGTTTTGTTTTTTAAAAAATGATAATTGGACTTGGATGAACAGAGAAGTAGCCTGTGATTCATATTGGTGTGAGTAAAAGCAAAGTTTAACGCTACTACTTGGAAGTTAGCAATGTATGGGGGTTTACGGTTTATTTTATGCCTATATAAAAAGCACTCTGTGCTCTTTTCAGTGGGAGGGTGCCAATAAAAGTGTTTCAGGATGCAAAGATGTACAGACAGGTACAGCCATGCTATGGAGCAGGTCAAAAGTTTCATTTTGGGAGGTCTGCATTCTGGAATGCAGTGCTCTTTATTAAAAATTTAAAAATGAAAATATCCCAACTCCCTAGAGGTCTCACAGGACATCAGCCCAAAACCCAATCATTCTTTGGACGCTGAGGAAAAAATGATAGTGCTGGAGGTCCTTCCCACCCTAGCCCTTTCTCCCTGCTGTGATAGCATGACCCTGAAAAGATGAGCCTTAGAAATTAAAAGGCGTCTGCAGCAGAGACGGTCCTAAATGAGGGAGGCTTCAGTTTGGGGCTTATTTTTTACTGATAGCAACTGCAAGCCTCAACAAGTTGCTTGATGGATAACACACACATTTTGGAGGCAAAGGAAAAGGGGAACCGGGAGGAAGAAGTGAAAAGGAGGGTATCGATGAGGAGACATTAGCTGTTTGATTGCCATCATTTTCTGAGCTACGTCTGCAGGTGAAATGCATTAAAATCTTGTTTGCAAAGAGCAAAGCGAGAGCAAAGTACTAAAAGTATTTCTGGAGAGAGCAGCTGAATCCCCGGCCGGGCGTGAAAAGCCCATCGCTCTGAAGTTGAACAAGCGAGGGACTTTCAGAGGGAACCAGGGAAGAGGGATACTCGACGTTAAACCTGATACTCTGCTAAGCATATAGTGTTCCCAAGAAGCTGAAGAATGCAAGCCTGCGACCGATAACTCCACCCACGTAGCTGCTGGCTGCTGAGTAGCCACAATAATATGTGCGTTTTCTTTTATAGGAAGGGAGCTGTGCGCAGGAGGAACCCGGGGCGGTTCGCTCCGCAAATCAGAGGACTAAGTGAGGGGACTGGCAGGGGCTGGGAGAGGAGCCTTCTCCTGAGCTGAACCTGGCGTGGCTCCAGGGAGGGAAGGAGCGGGGTGATCCTTCCAACTGTCTTTTTGCCCGTCTCCTTCTACAGTATGGCACAGGACAGCATGTTGACTTATTTCCCGTGCTTCTCCATCATGCCCCCTTCCCCTCACAGCAAAGGCAACGGCAGATTTGCAGTAGATCTCACTAAGCCAAAGACCTTCCTACACCTGGGAATAGAAGGAAGTAACAAGCATTTGCCTTAGGTAAACAATGACCTTTTCTGCACGCAACAAAGGGTACCCTGGTGTTAAAAACAAGTGCCATAAAAACCCCTCATTCTGATCTGTGGTAACTATTGCTCCCCAAAACCCCAGCAGAAAACCTCAACTAAGGCCATTTCATTCTGGTCAGAAGAATAGAGGAAAACTCCATTAGGAACTGCATTTGCTAAAAGGAATGCTGTCCCACACCCTCCCTTTTGGTGCATCTCACTACGAATCTGCATTTTGATACACATTTTGCAAAAACCCCATGTCAGCTGACGGTTTAGTGACCTGATTCACTGCTCACTGAGCTCCAGCTGGTCCCAGGGACCGAGCTGGTTTTAGCAGGGACAGACTCAGCTCTAGCGGCGGCAGAAAAGACTTCAAGTTAGATGACTTGGTTTCACTGGCATCATCTGAGCCTGAGCCTCAGAGGAAATCAGACTCATGAGTCACCGTTTTGCAGGTTTTTGTTCAAATAAAACCCACTGGATAACCACCAGCTACAGAAACACGCTCAAACCAGCCTGCCTGTGTTAAAAGTCTTAGCACTAAGAGGTCGTCTTCAGGGGACAAAGCACTTTGCAAAGCTTTCTTTGCTACTGCCTTCCTGGGAAAGGTCAAAGCAAGGCGGTGACGGTATTCCTCTCTCATTCAAGCACGTGATGTAACTGATAAATATGCAATCCACCTACACATAGAAAAAGGCCTGCCATAATGCGTCTTTGCAAGAAAACAGCGTCTTTCAAGACGTTACGGTTCTGACACAGGTGAGGTTAACACCATGAGCTGTGCTGACACGGGCAAGACAAGACAGTACGGACCCCTTAAAAGCTGTAAGGTCTTTAGATACACAGACATATGTTAGGAAGCCCCTCCTTTCTCTCATTAAAGGCTCTCACTCATTAAAGGTGGCCAAGGAGAGTCCAGAAGAGCTGGAGGTACAAGGGGGCGACGCCTGTGAGCCCCCACGCTCCACAGGCTGACGGGGTGGAGGTGGATGAGCGGGGGGAGGATTTCAGGTACTTACCCTGAATCTGACTCTGAGGCTGAGGGTTAAAAGCAGTGGTGTGGTTCAAGGAGGCTCGTGGGTTGGGTGTGGGGGCTGGGTGGTGTGGGCTGACCCTCATGGCCGTACGACGCAACTGCTCCAGTTCACTCAGGCGCTCTGAAAAGGACAAGCTCCCAGGCTTTGTCTGCTCATCTATTTTCTGACGATGTCCTATTGTGGGAGGGGGGGGAAAAAGATCAGAAAATCTCACTGATACATGAGGTCTGTTGACTTTTTTTTCTTTTTAAATTTTTTTTTTTTTTTAAATTTTTTTTTTTTTTTAACCCCTCATCCACTGGCAATGTAACTAACCAGCTAGTGGCCGTCTGAAATTAAACTGAAACCACCTCTCTACAAGCACAGAAGACACAAACCAGTCATGCATCGTCACTGGATCATGGGGCAGTCTGAGACATGACCTACTGTGAAGAACCAGATCCACTGAAAATAAGCCATGCCTTCTTACACCTCTCTCAGAGAGAAGGGACATTTCTAAAAGGAGGCTTGTCTGTGGTGATGCACAAAAGGAGGAGACATCAAATGGCCCCTGTGCTAAACCTGCACTAGAATAACTCCTCAAAAATGCAATCCCAGATTGTCGTAATCAGACAAGTACTATGGGGCTATAAAAAAAAAAAAACAAACCCAAACAAATCCCATTTTTGGATCCTTTAGCAATGGTTTTACAGACAGAAACAGAAGCTGGCAGAATTGAAACTGCAGGGTAATGAAGTCTCTCTTAGTGGTGCTGGAAGCTGCCAAAACATGAGATCGCACCAGACATCCAGCTATAAGAGAGTAGATGCTGACATTGCAGAATCGGCCAGTGCACAGTGAATGTGGCCATGGCCACATGGGAGCTGGGGGGTCCAGCAACCCCCAAGGCAGCCCTTGGAGCACAGTCCCCATGAAGCTCTGGTGCTGCAGCCCTGAGGGGCTGGGAAGGGATGGGGAAGATGCTGGAAAGACCCAGCTCAGTGCAGCACCGGGGCACGTCCCGATTCAGCTGGAAGGGCAGAGACATATCTCATCATGGGCAGGACTGATTTCAAGATAAGCCTTAGCTAGCAGCAGCGAGAGGTATGAGAGGAGCAAGGTAATGCATTTGTATCTGTTGCCTGTGTCTGCTCTGCTCTGGGATCATTTGTGTGTCAACCTGTAACCACAAAGACAGCACACACAGAGCATGCAAGAGGGACATCTCATCTGCTGGAGCTCTTGCTCTCTGGTAGGCATGGCGAAAGCACAAGTTTTAAATCCTTCTTCCACCCTCTTAAGATCTAACCTATTGTTGAGACTTTGCAAACCACTTTTGTGTCCATTGGTTTCCAGTTTTATGAGATGGCCTTCCAAAGTGGGGTATCTTGTCCTGGAAGGCTGCTGACACTACGCTTTGGGGCTGAAATGGAAACCTCCCCTAGCAGACTTCTGTTTGGTGAAGTAGGATGGTTCAGCCATATTCCCAACCAGGTGGAATCAAAACTTTCCCTTGCCATTTCCCCCCATCCCCTAATAGGGCTTTTTCTTCTTAAAGATCACAGAAAATTGCCCTTCAGCAAAAAGCCCAAAAGCAGACTGTCTCTGGTACACAAGTTATCCTTTCAAAGATACTCTCCTGAAATAGAGGGCAAGATACTGACTGCAATGAGTCTACGAGGACATATCCTTAGCTTCTCTGTACGTAGTCAATGGAGTGTATCCTCAGCTCCAGAAATGTAATTTTCCTACCTTCCTTCTGCTCGGGAACCTTCTTGTGGAGCACCAGATGTCATCATCCCTCTTTTTTCCCCAAAGCCAATCCCATTTCTGCATGTTGCATTTGTCTCAGGAAACCAGCTGCCTCATGAATCTTTGTGGCTTATCCCTTCCCCTTCTTCCCATAGGACACTGTTACCCTAATGGGAATGCATGTCAAATCTCTAGCCCAGAGGTCAAACATCTTTTTTTCTACTTGCTCCCTTGAAGAAGGTTTCTGCTGAGCACCATGGTTTGCTGTCTATCTGGTCCTGATTTTCATTTTCTTGTCATAAAGAGTTGCCTTCTGCAGCTTTCTTTGCATCTCCATCCTCCCTGCAAGGAGGTGGCCAGTGGTGTTCCTACAGCAAGTCCTCTCTCAACTCATGGCTACAGCAGTGAAACAGACCGGCACAAAACTCCTGAAAATAATCCACCCTGCCCCTGTTCCACACATCCCTGTAGTATTTAATACATAAACATTCACGAACAGCCAGCTTCCAATTTTGAGTATCAGCACATAAACAGCAAAAGATGTCTGAAGAACTCTGTACGCCCCTTACTCTACAGAGCACTCTTTCAAGCCACCCTAACAGCTCAATCAAGACACAGGACCATTTTATGCACTAAAAGGAAAATGTGCATTTAAAAGCAGTTCCCAGTAGCTGCATTTCTAAAATTAAATTTTATAACTTGTATTATGGTTCCAAATCACAGTGGCTCGGCATTTCTTCCTGTTGCCAGGCCCTTTGGCACAGCTTGAACTGTCTCAGATTCCACACTGTGCTGTAAATTATCCCAAGAGGGGGAAAAAAAATTAAAATATAGAAAGACATATTATATAGTAGCGGTTTCATCATTAAAGAGCCCCATTAATGCTTCCAAAAAAAAAAAAAAAAAAGGAAGGGTGAAGAGAAGATGAAAAAGACTTTTATCTGACATTCTGGTTGGTCAAGAGCAAATGCTTCATTTGTCAGCAGCGCAAAGCTGGACGCTGCCTCAAGCCTTGGGCTTCTAACACCAGACTTGAACGCAAACACGCGGAGTCATACAAGATGTGTAAGATACCTCATACATTTGAATTATTTTAAGCTTCAGCAGGCTGAACCCAGAGGTCGCGGAGCCAAGAGCCAGGTCCTCCCAAATTGTTCTCCCCCGATGCAATTTATTCCTAATTTCAAATTCCGCTCAGACGTCTTCTGCTTGAAAGCAAGTGCACCGACGCCAAGTTTAACCTCCTGCTACCCTACTTTCTCCTCCCACCTCGCCGGTGCTGCCCTCCCGGCATCCGGAATTTTGCCTTCCTGGCACAGAACCAAGTGTCCTGGCAGTGCCAGCCGGTGTGCTAGCCACCCTCGCACAGAGGTGAGCCTTTCCTCCTAAGCCAACAGGACAAGGGCTGCATTAAGGCCAGCGAGGCAAGAATTAACTTTCCCCTTTGAATCTCGCTCAAGCACTAAATGTGTGCCGGGCAGGGCAGACAAACTCCAGCTTGCTCTCACCGACCCAGCATCGCTGGCAGCAAGCAGGGCAAACCAACCCAGGCACAGCATCCTCCTGAGGTCACCACGGGGCACCCCGTTCCCAGGCCAGCTCCCTCTGAGCTGCTGGGAGCATCTCTGCATGTCTCCACCAGGCATCCACCAAGCAAAGCTCCTGGACGTCCCCCACCCCAGCCCTGAGCTGCTCCAGATCATCCTGCTGAACCTGAGATCTGCCTCATCCCTTGGGCTTGTGGAAATCCCACTTGTGTCAATGCATCTGGGGAGGAAAGACCAGCACCAGCCGGTTCCTTCTGAGGGGAACCCTGCTATTGTTTTTGTCCATATGTTCTGATTTTTGGTGGGAACCACCTTGAAAAAACATCAGGCAATTGTCACCTCAAGATGCAGCTCCAAAAGTGGTTCTTCTCCACCCCCCCGCAATCAGAAGAGCTATTTCCCCTCTTCTCCCTTGCTGACTGCTACAGGTAGCAACACAGAACCTGTTCTGCGTGAAGGTCTGCAGCAGGAAGGTAAAGGACTGTGTCAGAAAAATTTAACAAATACAAATGATTTTCCCAAGCCACTATAAATGCACAGGCAGAGCTTTGCTAGGGTGACTTGTATTTTTGCGTTTATTAGCTTTACTTTGAAGTTACCCTCTAAACACCTCGCTTAAAGAGCAGGCATGGTATCCTTGGTTCACCCCTGTAAAGCCCAGGACTATTATTATCCCCCTTTTATAGCTGGAAAACTGAATGACAGAGAAATGAGGTGACCTGCCCATAGTCAGGCAGTGACCCTGTGACAGACGCTCAGTGCGGTCACCACAAGCCCAGGCTTCTCCTTTCCAGGAGAACAGTGTGATGATGCAGGATGAAAAAGAGCAGCAGGAAGGTGCTTGGAAACTGGTGTGGTTCTGCTAAGATGGCAGTTTTGCCACAAAGATCTGCCACGAAAATTTTGCAAATCAGATGGGACTTCATGGAAGTCAATCAAACCTCCGGCTGTTGAATGGAGAATACCATGGCCCAGAGGTCACAGAGAGAGACAGCTTGCCACGAGACGGCCCCACTCATGTGCCATGCCCTTTCACTCTCCTCCCCACATCTTCATACTTTTTGCCATTTCACAGGTAGTAGCAGAAGAAAGAAAAGGGCTGCATTTTTTTCCCTTGGGTTGCAAGGTCAGTGTTTGAGACACTGCAATAAATAGGACATCCAGCCTGCTGGGCTAAATCACAGGATTTGGGGGGGGGGGGGTTGTGTTAGACTTTTTTTTTCTTGTCCCTTTCAAATACTGCCTCAGGTCAGACGGGTTTTTTTTAAAGCAAACAGGGCAGAGAAAACATTAGCTTTTCCGATACTTTTTACAGCAACGCAACATGAAAGCGCTTTCCCTCTTAATGGGAGGGAAATGCAGTTTTATAGACTTTAACAGACTGTGGAGCACTCGGCTTGGCCCGTGGCCAGCTGGTCGGGGCTCTGGATGTGGAAGCAACAAGAAAAAAGTGCCTCAGCAGTCCCCATTTTTGTGGACATCGGGCACTCATTGGGAACGGTTGCTGGGTCCGAGTTTCACACTGCAGCCGGCCCCACGGAGACGGCAGCAGCACTCCAGGTGCAGAAAAAGAAAGAGGTGTCCCATTACCTTCCTTTTAACCTAGCTTTTAAAAGTGTCACTTAGATGCCTTTCAGGTTCAGAAGGGGAGAAGCAAGTAAAACAGAGGCTAAGGAAAGGCATCACTCTCATTCTGCCAGCTGAAGCTACCGAAATTCCTGTGGGTACCCAGGACTGTTTTACAAGTAAACACTGTTGGAATGGGTTAATGGACATTTTTTTTCTCTTTTCAGTCACAGTACACTCTGTCACCTGCTCTCATTCACTCATAAATTCAGCTGTTTGGAGCTGGTGCTTCAGGAGGTACTAACATGAGCAAAAGGTTTGGGCTTGGGG